CGATAAATTTCTTTATCATACCGAAAATATATTGAATATAAACCATACATATACACAAAAAAAAAGAAAAAAAAAAATCAATTTATGGTTTGTCAAATTCATTTTCAACAAAAAAATCTTCTAATATACCAAACATAAACTATAAATAAAACATTGTTCAGAAAAAAACAAACATCATTTACAAAACTAAGCAAAAATAAAACTACAAATCTGAAGTGTTGAAAAAAAACATGGTATGATTCTTGATTATTCACACCACAATTAGTATTTTTGTAAGACTAAGTAAAATACAAACTAAAACTTCATTGGTCAAACGATACATTTGCAAGACTTGGTAAAACAAATGAACTTTATTCCAAAATTATGAAATATGATTACTCTTCCACGTATGTCGGTACAATAACAGTCGCCGCCATCTATCTGTCCCCATTTTATTCATCCCTACCAAAATTCTCCGGACGAAAATAGATTGTCACCCTCGATCGAAAAATTGGGACTATCGAACCCTTCAAAAATCTCCCTGCAAACGGACGATTCAAAAGCGAAGGCCCTATGATCTTTCATCACAAAAGCCACGCCGGGCTCCGCCGGGGGCCTCCCTGTGACCTTCCACCTGGCCCAAGCGTCGGGCGAGGCTGGGCTTCCCGTCCTCACCTCCACCGACCTCAACATCCAGTTCGTGAACGCCTCCGCCAGCACTTCGTGCAACGACGGCGGCGTATGGGCTCTCCGATTGGTTCCCTTCCTCGGGGCGTTGGTCGTGAATACGGGTGGCAGGCTGGGGGCAGCGGACAACCAGTTCCAGATCAGATGTCCCAATTCGCCGATTCTATCTCCCTACTCAAAACCCTAACGAAATTGCGGACGGATTCAAAGTTTACTGCAAAACCAGAACAAAATTGGCAAAAGAAGAAGAAAAAAAAAAGAAAGAAATGGGGAGAGATGAGAGAGAATAGAAGGAGAGTTGATGTATAAAATCTCGTGTAATCTCTCCTTCAAAGAATTAGTTGACTTAAATTTGAATTCTAGTATATATGCAATTATGTTGGGGTGATTTTGTATCTTTACAAATAAATATTAATTAAGTGTAAATGTGTAATATAAAATATATTTGATAGTATGGAGTGTAAATTCCTCTAAAAAATATCGTAAACAAAAATATAACATTTTTCTTAAAAGAGTGATGAATTTTCCCGTCCAACGGTTAATTTCGCCCCATATAAGAACGTGTGTATAAACAATACAACTACAATTTTGGCACTTCTCTTGGTCTATAAACTTAGTTGCACTAAATTAGTTTCTTTTGCTTTAGAGAAAAAAACCTTCGTATGTTTGGCTTGATCCCTAATCTGAGTAGACCTATATACCCAAAGCCATTTGAGAGGGATTGACATAATTTCAACATATTACATACCTAGCAATATCATGCGATTTTAATCATTGACATAATTCTAACATAATGCACACATAGCAATATCATGTGGTTTTAAACAATTTTCTAAAAATCGTTAGATGCTCCGTAGATGCTGGAATGGGGCCTAAGAAGTCGGTGAAAATATTAATAAATTTATTTATATTGTTATGCACAATTTATAATATATATTATATAAAATATATGAATTAATATGGTCGAATAAAAAATTTATGCAAGATATTATACACAAATATGATTATTAATATTTTCATTATCTGATAAATTTAAATTTCATGCATAAAATTAAAAAATATATATATTTTTTCTAAAATAAATCTAGATTGACCGCCTAAACAAAAGTCGAGGCGCCTAGGTGCGTGCCGATTAATGTCTAGGCCGAGTTTTAGTAATCATCACATCAACTTTATATTATTACACACCATTCATTACTGTAAGAAACTATTTTGAAGTAGCTGATCTCGGGAATCTGTTGTATTCGCTGTTATTTCCCATGAGAAATAAATGAACTACGTCACTCAGATTCATATCCAGTTTGAAGGCCAAAGGCCCAAAAATATGTTTTTACTAGTTTGTAGTGTTCTAAATTCAAGTGCCAGCCTGACGTGTGCATAGCAGCAAGAACAGCTCTTCAACATAAAATTTTGCTAAAAAAAGAATTGATAAAAACAACTAGAGAACTCTATATATTACTAAAACAGAGACTGATAAAAATAACTAGAAAACTCTATATATTACTAAAAGAAACATAATTGTATGTTCTACATACATTATCCTCTACTTTGTACAAAAGTCTTACAAGATTACATCCAACAAGGGGGCTATAATTTCGAAATTAAAGAGGTCAACAACAAATGAGAAAGGATGTAACAATATGTCCAAGGCCTACATATACCCACTTTACAACCCCACGAACAAAAAACTCGGATCACATTTTTCAACACTTTCGAAGCAGGTAAAATTAGGAAGAAGATGCGAGTGCACGAATATTGCGAGTAACGACCACAAAAACAAACATACCTAACATGTGGTCCTTTTTACTCCATCCAAGTTAAAACGGGATGTAATATACCATAACTCAAAAATAAAAAGTTAAAAAACAAAAAGATAACATACGGGCAACAATGACATACAATTCTCCTTCTATCTGTGTCCTCCTTTTTCTCTCAATATACATGATGGATGTATAACTCTTTCCCAAATGAGGCATCAAAGCCGAAAAAAAGGTGTCCTCTGATGGGGCAAATTGAACTTAATTGTATATTTTCACAGGCTTCTCAAAAGTGTGACGGTTCTGCAATTATCACGTTTAAAACACACGTCAGATCCGCATCTCAGTGTAAACATACACATATTGTTTTTACTTTTTAGTATTTTGGATGATAATGCGTGGTACCTTGAATGGTGATTCCCTAGATGATTGTCCAAAAACTATCCCAAAGGTTTAGACAATTACTTAAACATCCAATCATGTTACAACAGTATTAAATACATCACAATTAACCCATTAAATAGTCATATTTTGTGAAATTGGTGGTATTTGTGATTTTAAAATATTCGTTTTCTAATGAATCTAAAAGTTTGAGAGTAAAATTCATAACTATCCTCCAATCATTGAGTGATCCCAAATAAATAAATTTGAATATTGTTGAAATCCAAGCAAAATTTTACCTGGCTCGAAGAATAAGACCTCTTAGGGGTAGTGTCCGAGTGCTCTAATCCTAGGTACTGCTCCCAAGCACCATAAACGTCTCTTCTCTATAAGCGAGATTAGAAATTCATCAGTCTCTTGCTAATACAAAAAGGACCTAATAATAACCACATGAACCCAATTAATCAGTGAAATAGGAGACTTTGAAAGGAACACTTCACCTGAAAACGACTGGAGATAACATCAGAATCTTCAAGATACTCTGGACGTCCCAGTGACAAAAAGGCAAACTTCCACTAAGCGTTCACAGGGGGAAAAAAAAAAAAAAGGTATAAAATAATTAGAGATACCCAGGTACTTCGATTACTAACCAATGAGAAGTTTTTGGTGAGTGAAGTGTCATTATTAGACTGAGAACAACATACCTTTGAAAACTCCTCATCTGGAACTTGCAATTTCTTATGAATTCGGGCTTTAACCTCAGCTAATGTTTCGCCTTCGTGAATAACCAAAAAGAATGGTTCCCCAAAATTCTGGACTTGCTGTTTAGGGTCCATAATAATAAAGCTACATAAGAAAAAAAGGTGCACACAAAGGTATGTATATACATAAAAGCAGTAATGATAAAGTACCACTTGATTCTGGGAACTATCTTTTGTAAAATGATACACATGAATCAGGCGATCGTTCGGGCCCAAGTTCTTTTCCTCTTCTGGTATCTGAGATAGAGCAATATAGTTGCATAAAAACTATGCACTTGAAGCAATATCAAGCTTTCTAAAAGCAGTCAATACAATTCGCAACATTTTGTTGAGGCCGGCTCACCTCCTCTGCACGCAGAGTCCAATATTGGTCATTGATATTCTCGATCTTCTCATGGAGAGGAAAAATCTGCAAATTTCAAAAAGCAGAGTAACTTGTATTGTATGAAGTTACTATTAATAGCCCTAATATAGACAGACACTCCAGGCAAGGTTTCCAAAAGCATGTAACGAGAATTGGTAATGAGATTTGCATTAAACAACCAGTATGCAGTTCTAACTTCCAACACAAATCCAGACAAATCATAAAGTGCAAAGTTAAAAAATATCATCTCAATCACAGTGGATATCCGAAGATCAAACTAATTAAAGTACGTGTTGCTAACATATCAAGCATCACTAAATTTCCAGAGTAGAGATATTACCTTGTAAATCTTGTGATAGAAAACTTCGAGCAACCTAAGTTCAGCACTTGGATGAGACAACTCGACCTATCATTGAATGTAATAAATGTGAGACACACTCTATCTTAAGATGACTTATACATTTTCGTCCCCTCATCTTAAGTCATCACAGGGCAACTTGCATGTATATAAAAGTGTCACTGGAGAAGGGATCATTTTTACTGGGAGGCATACTTCAGAACAGAAAACGATATAGAGAAAAAGTAACTGTACTTTTCCACACTAATAACCCCAGGGATACAATTTTCTAGAAAACAAGCTAACCTTCGTTTTAATTTCATTCAGAACATCCCCAACAGTGCTTGGCTTGGGTAATCTTATATTGAGGATAATAGCCTGAAAAGGACAATGTGACATTGATCAACGATTCCAAAACAACTCAATGCAAGGTAGAACACAATAATATTGGCACCTCATCCTTCGTGGCATGATGGAAGGCAACTTTCAATGTTTTCAGGCACTGCAATTCCGGCAGAGGAATGTCCAGCACTTCATAATACAGTATATCCGAAATCTATTATAATAAACCAAGTTATCTTTCGTCAATCAATTATATAATAAAACCTAAACCCTAAAAGAGAGTGAAAAATACAAGTTTAAAAAGCTTATGTCAGCCACCTGATTGTAGTGGACAAGCATGTCTAACAATTGATCAACTGCTCTGTATTTGATAGGATTTGGCTTCGGCTGTTGAGAATAGCAATTATGAGGAGTAAGCCGGATTTTAGATGGGTCATCCAAGCCCAGGTGCTGAGCAACTCTTTCAACAACATCATCATATGTGTGATTTTTTGCTCTGCAGATGACGGATAAGTTAGTTGCAGTTTGGTAACTGCCGACAAAATGAATAGATATACTGGCTGCTTAGAACCCAGCATAAATAACAGTGATTTTTCGGAGTGCTCACAACTCTAGGCAGAACTCATCTTCCTTGGGCTTCTCCAAAGCTCGGAAATGCACAATCTGAAAACGATAAAACACGCAATAGAAGCAGATTAAAAATAAAGACAAAAGACAGAATATTGTGTAATAATAGCTTCACGAGGAAAGAAAACTCCTGTGAAAAGACAAGCTTTACACCTACACAAAGTTGCACTGAACAAGATATAACTCTAAACAGATGGAAAGACAAGAGAACACCTAATCAGAAGGCAAAATGGCCAATATGATGTAAAATAAGCAGTACTAGGAACAAACGGATATGAGAGCTAAAGAACAAACTGAGATAATTGGGAGAATGTGTTAAAACAGATGGACATTTGTAACTTCAAAATTTTGATTTTTCTTATAGTATTGACCTGGCGATTTTTCACGTATTCTAAAAACGAAGGCACATCTGGGAATCGGATTGGCATCTCACTTTCGGATGGAAGCCGTTTCTGGAAACAAATAATGTCCCCATCTTCAATCTGACAGACGCAAAGAAGGGTGTGTAAGTATCTGATGCCAAAAGCGAAATTCATTCAAATGATTAAAAAGTGTAATAAACAATAAATACCTGGCTAAATTTAAATGAAGCACTTTTATTAAGGCGTTCACACATAACAGATGGCTCAAATTTTATTTCCTGTAGACATTTCAAATGGAGAACTGCATATCATAGAGTGCCTAAATGCATAGAACAGGATAAAGCAATGCATCCAGTCTGCAATGGCTAGCATATGCTTGGATGTGTACTGAATTTTATGGCCAGTCGTACCTCAAAGATATCAATCTCTTCATCAGGAGCAAATCCTGCTAATTCATTCAATTTTGTGATGATATCAATTGGCTTGCCTGAGCTTTTCACAAATAGCCTCCCAACATATCTAGAAGTGGGAAATAAAACAAATGAAGAAAAGGCGGGCCAAGTTACAAAATAAATAAAAAATGTATGGTCTACGAAAAGAAAATGTACCTGAGCTCTTCTTTAATAGGATCGTAAAGCTTAAAGAACAGCAGTATATCTTCCTTACTTTTTTCTGGAGGAGCAACTGGATGTAAATCCTATAAATTCAACAAAGGAAAATGTGGATTATCCAATTATACAAGAGCAGTGCAAATTTCACATAATTCATTCATAATCTTGCTTGCTGCCTAAGGGGGAAAAAAGAAAAAGAAAACTGAAAACTACAATGGAGGTAGGAGAAACCTGTCCATGCTCGACTTCCAAGAACAACTTCAGCTCCGCATTGTGGGCCTTGTTGGAAACTTCCCTCAATGCTCCAACCTGCACAAAATAGTTATGGGACAGAAACAGATGTTGTAAATAACCAGTTAAGAAAATTCTTAATCAATGCCTGCAAAAAAAAAATCAGTAATTGATGAAAGCAAGGTAACCAAATTAAACAAAACAAGGCACTATGAAATCAACCCAAAAGAAAACACATAAAAGAAAAGTGACTGTTATAGCAGAGCTTTCTCTTTGAATGCAGTTTAGCACCCATTCAAATGCATATTTGTAACACTTGAAACTATATTACAAATAATCTTCCCCGAAAGGAACAAATCTTTAACAGAATGAATAGGAACTCTTAAGTTCCAGAAAGCATATTCCCCTTCATAAAAAAGAATCTCGATAAACAAAAGTCAGATATAATTACCGTATGTGCTTCCTCCTGCGGAGTCAATGGCCGGTTTGGACGGTAAGTATGGTTCTGTCGTTTTGCCCATATCCAGAAACGCTGAAATTGAACTGGAATCCCAAATTCTTTGGCAACCTCTTCCTTCATAAACATGGACGCATCAGTAAGATTGTCATGCTAAGCAATTAAAAATAACAAGAGAATTCGACTAATCGAAATTAAATTTTAATCAACAATAGCTAACAGTTACAAGTAATAGTAAGTCAAATAGTAACATTGAAATGTTCAAACTTTTAATTCTGTATGAGGCAGAACTGATAATCAGCTATACAGAGTACGAAAAATGACAGTTTATTTTTATACTGGAAAACTAATAGAATCATTCCAGCAAAACAGAATGCAACAGCTATTATTAAGTGAAGGAGCATAGTCCTATTGCAGGAGTAAATTCTATTACCATTTCCTATTCCATGCCCCAAACTTGCTCTAAAAATACAATAATTAATAAGAAAATTCAATACCTTGAAAAAGTTAAAAGGCGTCTGTTTTTGGATACGGAAGTTGCGGACTTTATCATGATCAACGAGATCAAAATAAATATCCTTTCCAATCTGTTCCTTCAAATCTTCATCACGAGCCACCTGCAATACTAATAAATTGCTTAAGCAATACATATCAAGAAACAAGGAGATTAAAGGTCATGTAAACTCCGATTAAGAAGAATAACCTTGATTATGGTATAAAGATGGGCCTGTGCTTTGTATCTTCTCTTGTCTTCCTTCTCTTCCTGTTCCTTTTTCAATCTTATCTGGAGTGAAAAGCGGATGAAATGTCATATGATACAATATTCCAAATGTATAACTCTTAAGCGAGTTTCTAGATGTAACAATGGAATAATTACCCTAAGGTGCTCTGCAATGTCCTTCTCATCCACATCACAGATTATGTTATCCTTGTCACTCACTCGTATATACACAAGCATGTATGCATTCGAGTACTTTGTAAATTTGAATGGAGTGTTGTTGTAGCCGGGATTTGTCTGCGGNACATCTTCTTTAGTGACCCTCTCATCATCGAATTTGAACCTGAAAAGTGTATCATCAAATCACAGAGCAGTCCTACACGATTTGCCAAGTTTCTATAGATAACAAAGTAATCACTCTGATGATAATGTGGATAACACCACAAATGTGATTAAACTCGTGAAGTATCGAGACTATGCAAGCTATTTGCTCACGAACGTTCTACATTATCGATGGAACTGAGAAATATAATTGATAAGCACGAACCAGAAAGGAGAAACAGCCTTTAGGAGCATAATACCTACCACTGATCAGTGAGTGTTGGTCGGATGAAGGCATAATAATGCCCACCATGCACGCCACCACTATGAACCAAAACACTGTTGCAACCAAAAGAAAAAGAGAACAAGCAGCCTAAGCAACAATTCTGAGATAAGGAGTTTCCTACAGCCAAATTGCGGCAGATTACCCATGAAGCACCTCTAGATGTACTTTCCAATCACAGGACCCGAAACTAAAGATTAGTACGGACAAAAAAAAAGAGTGCACAATAACCTGTGAAGCATGTAAAGGTTCCGTACACTCCTATCTGCTTCTGGTGACAAATATTTTCCATTGTCTCTATCGAGGTCAAGTTCCAATGGAAATTCATAGCGGTCGTTTATCTGCAAAAATAAAGCATATAAATCAATTAGCCGATACCCATGGTTTCACTTACCCTAGATGCTTTCTGGCAACATATGCCACCGGCCATTCCCACAAACATGGCTGGCGCTGGACATACATTGAAGAAAAATAAGTATTCAGTTGAAGCTAGTTTCTCAGAGAGAGAAAAGTCCTTCTGGAAATATATTGGGAAGAGACAAAGATGTCCAATATCTTGAATAATGTAAAACGAAAGTGGGCAGAGCAACTACAGGATAACACCAATATTACAGGTTTAAATGAAGTAACATTAGAGGCCAGTGATTTTTCCAATCTACTTTCAGAGAGCTTTGGCAAACATGAAGAGTTCACAAGAATGAATCTAGGTCTTATCCAAGAACTGATTAAAGAAAAGGAAGTTCTGGACAGGTTCGACATCAATCAATCTTCTTGGTATGGCATTTGGAGGAAGAACAAAGAGAAAGATGAAATAATGTTAACCTTGTAGAAGCACATATGTATTAATATAACAAGTAATAAGGTGCTAACGGTTTTGACTACTAACCTTAACCATTGTATCTCTCATAAAGTCATACTCAAATCGCTTCAATTGAAGTTGGAGAACTGGAGGAAAATCAATGAACAACACACCCTTTTTGGCATCCTAAGATTCCAAAAACACAATTCAGGCAAATTACAATAAACAGATATTCATCGAAAAACATAACCGAATTACTTAGAACCAGAAACTGCAATGGGTATACAAAAACAAATGAAATTGAACCATAACCCCATGAATTTAACAATAATCAGTATCCCTCTCTTTCCTAAAAGTTTCACTTGACCTGATAATGTTTATTGTCAAAACATTTTTGCCCCAATTCCAATATGAAAAATATCAATCCAAACACTATGTTCAAACAGCATTAAGACAACTTGGATGCTATCCAGTACTTTGCATATCGGAATAATCAAATATTATTCCAACAAATTAAGTCCAACTATTTCATCATATCAAGCAGCCACCAATGCTCTAATCCTCCCTCTGCAGTGGAATACGAGAATTAAATCCAATCATCAATGCCCATAAATATAAAATGTCTAAAAATGTGAAAACCTCTTGTATTTTCATATCATGAGTACAAAGTACAAACACACAAGTGCACCAGTTTCCAATGCAGAAACTTGCTAGACAAGCCAATCCATTTTCAGATACAGACAGAGTTGTTGACTATTATAGTGTCTCACAAGTACTTTAATGTGAGCTTTTCATGGCTACCCAACACAAAGTTCATAGTAGTTGGCATAACAGATATTTAATGTTCAACGAGGCATAAGAAATAAGTTCTATTTTATAGCAAAGTGGACATTTTGAGATGTCTCAAGATCTACCTCCTGCAACGAAACAATACTGGCTTGCTGAACATAGAGAACATCTACTAGACTTATAACGTCAACCTTGGTGATGTTCAGACACAAAAAATATATCTAATGGCTGAGACTACTCAACGCCTTAATGATAAATGAATCACGATAATTCCTAAACTATTGTTGGTAAGGCAATAAGGCTAGACTATCATACAGCTCACCTACTGTTGTCATTATTGACATATGAAGAAAGCAAAAACCTGTGGATTCTCTCTCTTTGTCCAAACTTTGACTCACCAAGACAGATGAAAGACATGCCTAAGAACTATGTGAAGAGGGACAAAAAACCTGTAAACCATGAGCCTCTGCATGGTACTTATTATCTCCTTCAAGGCGTTCTACATCCACATACTTGTCAAATGAAGCATAGACATCCTTGCAACCTTTTACATCAAGTTGAAGGTCTGCCACAAAGAACAGTGTCAATACAACTGCAAACCATAAAAAGTCAAGGTATGACTGGGAAAAAAACATTACCATAAAATGATTCCTTTCTTGTAGACTTATAGTCCACATTGATACATTCAATATAATTCATATGATGGCCTTCAAACAACTTTTGTATAGTCCCCTCAACAACAGTTCCCTACCAAGTACCAAAATATTTGCACAATAATTATTTTTTTTTTTTCAAGGTAAGAAAAAGGAAAAAATCCATAAATGCAGTCAGACACCAGTACCTTCATCTTGTCTTCAAGCTTTTCACATAGAACTCGATTAAGTTCTTGCACATCATGTTGCATAAAGGAATCATATGTGTCCCATCCAAATGACTTGGTTAGTTCTTTCGTAGCCACACTGGAGTCATTGTATTGGAGCTTATAAAACAGACTTTGTAAAGCCAAAGGGATACTCCCTGTAGGATTGTCATTCTCTGTGGTTGGCATATGATAGACAGCCTGATAGAACATTTTACAGCAAGGCTTCTTCACACTTCTCTTATTTTGAGATACTATAAGCAGATTAACAAATTAGCAAAAGATTAGAACAGAATGTGGTAACCTTTCTGAAGTAAGGAATATGGTACAAAGTCTGGAGCAGAGAGTTCATGTAACACGTTGCCCCTTGATTCTTAAGTCCAACATAACCTGTCTCCTTCTTTGAATCATAGGTCCAGTAGTCTATGACCTTGCGTACAGCAACACAAGCTTCAATAATACAAGTATCATTTACAAGGTACCCCTTGCTGGGGTCGTACAGCTCACTAAGAGGCATGAAAGATGTAAAACCCCAATCGCTCTCCCTTTGATTGAACTGGTGCTGTGTGTCTAAATATGCAGAAAGAATGGAGACAGATCAAAATTTAATCATAACTCAAGCTGCAAATGCTTTAAGCAAGTGTGAAGATGATAAAAAGTTATACGTACCAATGTATAATAACCAAGTAAATCATTTACAAGGTAAATTTAACCAAGTGACAAGCAAAAATAAAATAAAATAAAATAAAATAAAATAAAAAACTACTTCTATCAAAATTCCAAAATTTGAACTTTTAGAATGTCATTTCAAAGTCGAGTCCACAATTTTTCATTTTTTTGTAGGTTGTTGGGGAGTCAGTAGTTGACAAAGTAACATCCAATTGCAAAACTAAATATCATGTTTCACTTAAAGTTTTTAATACTCACAAACCCTCATGAAATCACCTACACATATGCATGCATATTTCTTTGTGTTAGTCGGGAAACTTGTGCGTGCATAGAGACAAGCTTTAGCTCCACAAGGAAATCAGAAAGACAGAACAGGTATAACTAACAACAGTACCCTTTTTTGCCGTATATTTGGTATGAATTTGATTGACTACAGCCAAGCTAAACTGTGCGTATCTATTCCATCCATACGGCAAATTAGCTGAATCAGCCACATCTAAATACATCGACAAGTGGTCCACATTATTTCCTTTCGGAAATATAAGCACCCGCCTGGAAAAATAAAAACAAGTCAAAACGACAACAGAGACAATGGTGTCAGTTTCCATAAACACAAAAAAGCAAGCAATAAATATATGCAATTAACTGTCACATGAAATCCTAACGCACGTGCCACACAGAAATATAAAACAAAAGCTGAAATCACAGTTCTCGATTACCATTTATGTCCCCCAACAACGAAGGTATCTGAATAATGCTTTTTTGTATTCAACCTAGAAAAATTCTCGATAGTCCAAACATAGCGTGACGATTGTGGCTCTTCAGTAGCCTGGTTATCCACAGCTCCAGCATTGTCGGCAGTTGCTACTATGAAATCGAAATGCTACAGATAATAAATATACGTTGACAAAACCACTATATAAACATTTGATTGCATCAACACCAAATGTAAATATAAAGAAGAATCCACCAATCACTGGCCAAATGCCACCACTAACTTTTTCCAAGAGAATTACAGCATATCATACACATGCATGCATCTCTCTGCAAGCTACTAACAAGAACTCAAATAACACAGCCAAAAAAAAAAGTGGCGCACCTTCCATAGGCAGGGGACCTTCAATCAAAGGCTGAGGGCCCTCAACTAAATCTGAGTGCGGCACCCGCATCTCTTCATCTTCCTGCTGCTGCAATTTCATGAGCCAAATTAAACAAAAAAAAGTAAGCTAAACAGAGCTTGATCCAGTAAACACCAGCATTTCTTCAATTCTTCCATAATTTGACAACCCCAAATACATTAATCCGGTAAAAACAACAAAACAAATTGAATCAGCTTAAACCCTAGTCGATCCAAGTGTTC